TATATAAAGTAGACTATATTATTAAACATAGGCTTAACGAGAACGGTATCTAAAAGTATTAAATCCGTTAGAAGAACTACACCGAGGATAAGGACACCTAGAAACCTATAGTATATATCTTAAGTACCGCGATAGCTATATATAAATAGAGGTTATAGAATAATACGTTACCACTATAAACCTAGCGCTATTAGGGCCGTTATAAAAAGAAGAAGGATACTATAGAGAACGAAGTATTAAATTATAAATCCTAAACGCATACTAGGAAAACTCTATAAGGCAGCCCTATAATTCAAGTAATATACGGTTATTAAACGCGAAGAAAACGTAAATAACCGTTATAGGCACGTGACGCGATATATTATAATAGAATAACATAGAGAAGTCTAGAATAGACTAATATAGACTATTATACATAAGAAGAATATAGAACTAAGAAACTAAAAAGGTACCCTACTACGGAATTAAACTCGTAATATATAATATAAAAGGTTAGAGTACCCGAACTAATAATCACTAGGCTACTAGTTTAGATACTCTAATATAATTTAGAGAGATAAACTAATTTATATATAATACCTATACTTAAGTAACTTAAAGGAAATTAGAACCTAAAATTTAATAGTTATAGAATAAATAAGAACGTATATAATATCATTAAGTTAAGAATTAAATTACTAGAAAACTAGTAAATAGATATCTAAACGGTCTAAAAAGGACTAAAACGGATAGAAACCAGGTAGATAGAGCTAATATATACTATATAGAAACCCTAGCAAATAGAGCTATAGAGCTACTCCTCTATCTTATTATTACTCTTAGAGTATAGCGAACGAACTAACCGAGTAATAGAGTGATAGAGGTTAGAGACCTTATCCTCTAGAGTAACTACGCGCTTAGTTAGAGTCTAGTAAGATAATAACTAAGCGCTAGAGCGGAGTAACTAGACCTAAAGTTAGCTAACGCGGTCTAGAATAATCTAGAATAGAATATATACCCTCTTATAAGATAACTTAGAAGGAGAACTAGTAGATCTCTTACGAGACCCGTTAGTAGTATAAGGCGGGTAGGAAAGAATAGTATAAATCTCTTCTATAGCCTTAGTAGCTAAAACCAACTCCCTAGAATAGATAGTCTAAGTACTAGAAATCTCGTAGTAACTAAAAATAATAAGCTAAGATTAATAATAATTAATAGTTTCTAAACTTATACTTTAATAACCTCTAGAAAGAGCTTATAGTACTCTCTAAACTCTCTATATATAGAAGCTAGATAACTACTAGAACCGCTAAGAGTCTCGCGGACGCGAAGATCGTTATATATATCTTATATATAAATAGAAACCTAAAAACGTATTAGTATAGACGACTTTAGATTATTCTAGACTAAAATAGTCTAATAGACTTACCTAAAGATAAACTTTACTAAGGACGGTATAGCGGCGGTAGCGGGTAGAGAGCTTAAAGATTAGGTATATAGATCTATTACGGTTAGTAGAGTAGTAGCTAATACTAGAGTTAGAGCGGAAGAGATATTTAGAGCTAGTAGTATAAGCCTTAATATACTTAAAGTATATTAAACCGTAGTTCGCCGTTTTTCTATAGCGTAAACTACGACTACGTTTAGTATCTTTAGCGACCTAGACCTTATTATTACTAGGGCTAGGTTTAGAGTAAATATTAAGGTCCTAAAAGGACCTAGAGTAACTAAGTTAGTCTATATTAGACTAAAAAGAGAAATAGTATTTAGAGTAAGGCGGCGAAGACGTAAACTCTTAATTATTATCTATAATAAGATCTTCTTTATTCTCTAAAGGAGGTAGAGTAGATAGATAGCGCGAGTAGATATAGATAGGCTTTATAGCTACCTCTTCCGTAATACTAGTACTAGGATTACCTAGATTAGAGTGACTAGTAGCTACGTTAGTAGTAATAGTAGTAGTAGCCTTAGCTACCTTCTTCTCTAACTTAGAGCGCGCCTTTATACTACTATAATAAGTGGATTTTTTAGCTAGTATAGCCGGGGTAGAGGTAATCTCTTTAGAGCGAGTCTTATAAGAGGAGAAGGTAGACTTAGAAATAGAACTAGTATTAGATATCTATATATATACGTTAGCTAGAGATCTAAGAGTAGAATACTTATTTAGCCTTAAAGATAATTAAAGAAGCTAAATTAGT